GCCTTTATAAATGGAATGTGCTAGAAACTCATTGTGGTTTTACTCTACATTTCCCTAATGCCTAATGAATTCATATCTCTTTCTGTACTTATTTTCTATCTGAATGCTTCAGAAGATGAAATAACTAAATATGTCATCTTTTTGTTTTTTTAAATGGGTTGTTTTTTCTCTCGTTACATTTTGAGAATATTTGATGTGATCTGGATATAATCTTTTATTTTATGCGTAACTTGCAGACTGCTCTTCCAGTCTAAGACTTGTCTTCTTTCTTTCGTTGTTTCACTTCCTTTGTAGCATCTACCGAAGCAAAGTATTTGATTTTGAGAATTCCACCTTTCTAAAAATGGAGATCATGCTTTAGATGATATGCTTCCTATTTCAATGATTCCTTAAAATCTTGTTAGGATAGAATTCCCCTATGGAAATATTAGGATCTGAAATTTTATTTGGGGGAAGATTTTATAATTATAATACGAAGGTAAGTGAAAAATTATTGTACTAGGGCTACAGTACATACATGTGTGCACACATTTATTCCAAACAAAATATGTTGCAGTGTGTCTCTGTGTTCAGTGGATGGCTACAGACAAGTCCTTTCAGGAATACATGTGTCTCAATCTCAATAGAGTGCCTTCAAAAATAGTATTCTTTTTGTGCCACCGAGTGATACACCAGGTTCACTAGAGAAACAAATCCAGTGACACTCATAATTGTATAAGAAAGAGCTTTATATCAAGAAGTAATTATGTATCAAGAAATCATCCCCAGCTCACTCCCACTCAAGCCCGTAAGTCCAATCCTAGTCCAAAAGCCCCCTTCAGACTCACACAGCCACATGTCATGATGCAGAATGCGGGAGAGCACATGTCAGTGGGTGCAGTCATGTGGCTCCAAGGTCGGTGGAAAGAAGCCAGGGCCCGACAGTTTGCTGGTTTAGGGGCAGAGAGGGGGACGGTCTCAGGGTCCTCATTGTGAGAAGGTCACACCCCCAAGGACACAGCATCCGGCTCTGACCTGATTGACAAGTTGCGCTCCAGCGCTGGCCAGGAGTGTGTAGCTGACATAAAATCATTTAACTGCAGTACCACACGTGGGGGGAAAAACAATTTTGAAATCAGAAGTGGTATCAAATTTTAAACAAAACTCAAGGAGACATCTTCACAAATCCCTGACATTTTAGAACGAGTTTACAGGAATGCTTCCCTACATGTGACAATGATTTTCTGACAAGCCAAGCAGTTTGAAGAAGGTCAAAGGTCAAAGAGATGAGTCAAGAGAATGAAAGCCATCAGTTTCATCAAATGAAAACTAAAAACACGGTGATTGAAGTCTAGGAACTGGTTCCGGAAGATGTTAGGATTACCATTGATGCAATAGCCAACGAAGTCGGGTGTGAACATGGTTCTGCATGTTCAGTTTTAAGCAAACATCTTGGCCTCAGCAAATTTCCAGTTCAATGGGTCAAAAAGCAGGGTGCAAATATCAGCTAGCTTTCTGCGATCTGCTCTTTTCTTTCATCTTTAAGAAAGATAGAAGATAATAGATGATTTTATGGAACAAATTGTAAACAGAGATGTGTCTTGGATTGACCAATGTGATTCTGAGGGCAAGGTCCAGTCAAACCAGTGGAGGCTGGTTTTG